CGCATTCCTTCGCGGCGGCTCTGAGGAATCTTGCGCAACAATCTCTGCCTGGCAGTAGTGTCGAGACAAGCGAGAAAGCGAAAGATTTGTATGCGGCGCCGCCGTCGAACGTTCCTGGAAATCGCGCGGATACAACGGGAACACCCACGACGCGTTCGGATCCTCAACTCGCTTCACGCTTACCTACCTTAGGCACATCGGCGGCACTGATGGCTGGGCATCCTGCTGATAGATATCCAGACCTTCGCAGCGGGTTCCAGCCTTATCGGCCTGAGGAACGAATACCAACTTTGCCTGTAGCGCCTGTACCGCCAATGGAAGCTGTTCCCGGGTATCCCTACGGATATCCGCACATGCTGATGGAGGATCAATTGTACTTTGAACGAATGGGTGTCCTCAGACCTCCGTGGCCGCCTATGGGACATCCCTATCTACCCTACGTGCTTCCAAGTGTAGGCGGTGCGATGCCACTGTTCATGCACGAGAGAATGAAGCTGGAAGAGGAACATCGTCATCGTTTGGCCGCCTCACGTAAAGAAGAACAAGCTGAACGCGATCTCCTCGAACAACAACAACACCAAAGAGAGCGGGAGTTACGCGAGAAGGATCGTGCTCTTCGGGAGCGTGAGAGGGAACGCGAGAGAGAACGTGAAAGGGAACGAGAGCGCGATCGGGAACGCGACAAAGTCGCTGCTCTCGCGCGAATTTCTCCGGCGCATCCACACGCGGCGCCATCTCCGCTGATGTTACCAATGCTGGGGCCCATGTTACCACCGCCGAAGGACCTCTACCCCAACCCGTACCTACCACCTGCGCGACCGCTCCTCACAGCTGCACCGCCAGCTAGTTACCCAACGATACCACGCTCTAGCCCTTCCCTTCAGCGGCATTCACCGCATGCAAGCGCGTACTCTCTGAATTTGACTCAACCTCGACATAGTCCCATCTTGCAACCATCCGGGCCTATGATCAACAACTTGGAACTGCCGCGGCAGGTGCCAATGACGATTGCAAGTCGTACATCGCCGAAACCTTCTCCTCGCGCGTCGCCTAAAGCTTCTCCGAAACCTAATCACACACCGAGTCCGGGTCCTACTCCGATAAGTCATGAGACTGCGACGACGGTGGTGAGCAATAACAACACTCTGACGATTCCTACTGTGCACACAAGAACCCCCACTCCAACAGGGGTGATACTACCGGCGCCTGTTCCTGCAGTTGCATCAGTCACAGGTAAACTGATGGGAAACTTGGAAGAGGCTGGGGTTAACGGTGGCGGCATTTTGAGTACCTCACCGATTGCGCTGACGACCAATGTGGGCGCTACGGCAACCACGGCGGATTCGAATCGCGGTGATAATGGGGAAAATGCCTGACAGATCCATGAAGCTCGTGTTGCTTCAAATATCGGTATGTGTATTGCATTTTGGGATATTAAATTCTTCTACTTGTCAATTTATTTAATCAAATATTTGTTATAGGAAGTAAGTTGATTGAACCATTGGTCAAACCGACGCCACCACTTCCACAACTATCGGAGCGGAGCAAACTGTATAGTATCGAATCGCTGATCGTCACCTCCAACAATGAGAAACCCGCGACCCTCCCCGACTGCACGGCATTCGAACAACAATCTTGCAAATATGCGACGACCCCGCTCCACACCAATCGAGATCCGGGTGATTGCGGTCATCTGGGCAACACGCACAGCCCACAGCTGCCGGCACCGTCGCCCAACTACCCCGTGCCCGATACTCCCGACAAGGCGCCAGAATCAGGCCAGCAGCAGCGGCGACGGCCGGCCGCCGCTCATGTACCAAATACCGATGTTCCTATCCACATTACGCATAGTTTAAGTAGTGATAACGACGCACCTCGACAACCTACTAGTCAGACTGATGTTTGCAAGCAAACCGCGGGGCCGGGGGAGGCGCAGGCGGTCGGCAATAACGTGCAGAATAATAACAATCACCACTACGTCAACAACAACAAATCGACGACTCACGACAATAGTGATAGCAAATCGGATGATAGTCTCAAATCATGTGCCAATTCGCAAGAGGAACACACTTCTACGCCGCACCAATCTATGTACAATTGTAACAATATCGAGTCGACCGGAGCGCAAATTACGACGATAAACATGTTATCAACATCAAAGGTATCTCCAGTGGCCAACGGGTACGTGTTGATCGTGCCGCAGTTTAATATGCAAGCCAACGCATCAAATGCACGAGATTTGTTGGCTATCCGACGCACGAGAAGCAAATTAGATTTGGCGGCGAAACGCCGTCGCTTGCGTCGGGAATTGCGCGCGCTCAAGTCTAAGCGGAACGATGTTGCGCTGGAAATTAGAGAAGAGCCAAAAGTCGGGTGACTATTGAGTACGGCTTAAAGATACACGGATATTCTTCAGAATCCAGTTCGAGTGAGGAGTTCTCCACTGATGTCGAGTCTGATTTGGATCTCGATCTCTGGATACGCACGGGACCGCCTTCAAAATTAAGTATTTCGGAGGATAAGACAGGATTTTTGAATATTTTCGGACTGACTACACATCATCATAGAAGTGGTAAGTTGTGCAATGATTTTAACTTGTTATAGAATTAAGCTGGATTTTTGTTGGTGTAGAAATTGAACTGAAAAAACTGGAACGTAGAAAATGGGCACCGCCTGTACTCCAGTTTAAACACGAAGTAGTGGCGAGCAGAACTGATAGATTAGAATTGCCAGTGCCTTTTGAATCACCTTCGTTGCTGAATCGATCAGCGGACTTTCCACGAAAGGCTGGATTTTTCCATGGGATTGGGCTTCGTACCGTTAACACCAGACAACGGCTTGGTAAGATTGATTTTTCGCACATTTTATAAGATATTTAATAATTTATATTAAATTGGTAGAGCTTGAAAAGAATTGGCTAAAAGTAGTGCAGCAAAGATTAAAACGCAACGCACTAACTTCCCTGAACAACTTCTATCAACGCTTCGGTGAAAAAGTACTCTCAATGAAAGAAAAAGACGACGTGATCTTGTCGATACCAAAATTTCGAGACAATGCAATGCAAACCGAACTCACCACGGTCACGAACAACTTCCGTGCTGGCCTTCCAAACTTCTTCACTGATTGTTCAAGCACGAATGTAACGAACGTTCTGCGTACAATCCCGCATGCGACACTCTTTTCTAAACACCACATAAATCAAGGCAAATTGCTTGGTGAGAATTACGAGATGATGAACGGCGTGGTGCTCAAGCAGCCGCCTTACAACGAGGTGCATTTCAACGGCACTCTGATGCACGGTATCGTTCCGCCAGAGATGAATCCCGAGGCGCAGATGGCTTCAGCTCGACAGGCCTTCGATCAGCCGGAACAGCAGCCCAATCAGTCTACGAGCAGCTCGTGCAGCGTGCAGGCGTGTATTACTAGCATGGTGAAGGAGATGGTATCAGGCACTGCGGGAATGACAATAATTGATTGCGATTGCGGTGTCGCACCAAGCACGAAAGGAAACCTGCCACGAAAAGCTCTCAAGAAGGCAAATACGCAGTGTAATCGAGATTGGGCGACATGGCCAGGGCTCAATGAAATGATGACAGTCTATCAGAAATTCGCGTCAGGTACGCAAACACCAATACTAATCAGGAGACTGTTGTTTATTAACTGTTTATTACAGATAGAAACCACGAAATACTATCACTGCAGAAGAAATGCGAACATCAACGACAGATTGTCGAGCAGCAACAAGCAGAGGTAAAACGCTACGAAGCCCGCCAGACGGAACTACGGAAGATTTCTACCACAGGCAACCTTAAGCGTCACAACATCGAGAAGGCCCTGGACCGCTTGACGAAAATCCTCGCGGACTTCAAGCCGTCCGACAGATAACACACGACGAAGGCGCGAATAGAAATTTGACTAGATCTACATCTATACAACCATCGAGACTTATTCGGCGATGTCGTTCAACACGTTTTTACGATTTTAAAAAGCATTTTAATCTCCACTGTGCAATTCCGTACATAGGTTGATTAGCAGCGCAAGAGGTCGACACGTTATACAAGTTTACAACATGCCACACACACGTTTTAAATAACTAATTCGTCGCGCAGCGAAAGTATTAGATTTTATAATATTCCGAAGACATTCATATCTTATTTTTATTTGACGGCGGAAGGCGAAGGCAAGGACGGAATCTATATATCTACCAATTGTTATTGTTGGTACAATGAAGATGACAATTATTTTGTTCGCGAAACTGTGTACATACTACTGTGAAGCATGAGATTTTCATTTCTTTAAAATAATTTTATACACTTTCTAATATTTCATACTTAAAACAAGAAAACACTGTGCTTACCCTCTATTAATTTATAATCAAATCACGAGGATGGGTCGGCGGAGTTTATTTTTTACGCGACGTTAACTAATTTCTATCTTATTTTCTTCAATTGATTGAAGGAGGACAGACGATGAGATTGTATATTGTGTAATAATTTGTACAACTAACTGAGGAAACTAATCGAAATGGAAAAATAATTTTCGTTTTTTACGGGTGATTAGAATTAATTTACTATAATAGTTGCTAGGGGAGCGGAAGGTACGCGCGACGCGACAGGACGAGATAGGAGCGAACGGTGTTCACTGATTCTGTGATAAAACTTTGATGAAAAACAAAATAATACACACAACACAAAATGAACATTTGAAGATTAACTTAAGAGACATACAACCGTGTAGAATATGCGATTACCTTAATTTAATAACGATGTAAATGATGTGTTTCTATGATATATATATATTATATTGTATTAGCGTTAAGTGAGCGAACAGCATTTTTGAGGAAACGCCTAGGGAAAAAGAGTGCGAATCAAATAATTCAAGTTTATTTGTAAGTAAGATTTGACTATATGAAAGAAATCAACGGAAACAGAAAGGCAATTGAATGAATGTAAAAAAAAAAACAAATGAAACTGAAACGAAGAGAAACACAAACGACTTAATTAAATGTACAGATCGGACCTATTTATTTGCCGCAGACGTTTGTTCAAGTTATCCACCCGTCGCACATTCCGTTCATATTTTTCTTTCGATATCACTTTTAAGACGAACGTAAGGTGAGTCTTTGATCCTACAAGGTTATTTCGTGACTTTACGTTTGCAATATGCGATAATAAAATAAAACCCCGCCAAGGTCGATCTCCGAGTTATCGGTTATCGTGCGGTGTGCGTTGCGTCGCTTAACCTAGCAATCCAAGAAGTTAGCAGCCATCAGCAGTTCCAGAGCGATTTCTGGGGCAATTGGGAATTCCGGGATCTCCGTCGAGCTGTTAGTGTAGCGCACCTTGTACGTGAAGTACATGCACACCTTTTGCAACACATGTGACCTGGTAAATACAATTGATATTAGTTTGTTGTTGTCATTCAAACAAATGCGTTTCTTACGGAATTTCTCTAAAGTTGACTTCGTTTGCTTCATTCTCGGCGAATTGTCCAGGTCCACTCAACATAGCCTTGATCGTGCCGGAAGTAAGCGCGTGCTCGCGTTTGACGATGAATTCGTGCCCATCTGAAGAGATCAGCTTTACATACATTGCATCAGGACCCTCACAGCCACCATAGACGCGGTTCTCAGACTTGATGGAAATAACATTCTCGTCGATTTCGGTCATACTGCTCATCTTATGGAATCAATACGGGTGTTTCTGCACAAGGTAAGAATAATATAATTATTTCTCAACTGCATGTTTTCATAAAAAAAGTTAACAGTCATTCCCAGACGAAACATAACCTTTGCGTTTCAAAGAAATAAGTGTAAAATCAAGTTTAAGGGGAGTATCTACAAAAAATTGTTATTGGGTGATAGTTTACCTTGTGATTGATGCGAATACGCAGTGTTGATTATCGTGGGGATGGTAAATGTGCAGTTTTTTGCGGTAATCTGCGATTGTTGTTACACTCCCCTCGACCGCTCAGACTACGGCACGAAACACGTACGAAACATACAGATTATTGGTTAAATCAGGCAGATGGCGACACTGGTTGCTATTGAGGAGCTTAATAATTTCACTTAGTTTTAATGAAATTGTGGGTTCATAAATGGTTTATTTCACTTATTAATTAATAGATACTTAAGCATGGCTATAAATTAGTTATTATTGATAGTAACTAATGTGTTATTTACTTTGGTTGGTTATAAATCATTCGAACAAAATTTGTTTGACGTAAATATGCTTAATATTAAGATCGAAAGTGCTAACAGATTAAATCAAAAGAAAGCGAAAGATGAGTTGTGACTACCGAAACAAGTACAAGTAACGGGAGCTTATTTGGGATAGGAAATAATACAATAAGTTCATCTTCATTTTTGTATTTATTTCTTTCTGATATAATGCATTTATATCAAAATCAATTTGATCTCCTAATCGAAATAATTATCTTATATAAACAATATTAACAATTCCAATGTTGGCTGCACTTTGCGTGTTACAATACATTACATATTACTTTATTCAAACAACAGCAGCGAAGCTGAATGAAATTTCTTAAAATGCTTCAAAGTTATCAAAGTTATAAGCAAATCAATGCTCTACATTATATTCATCATCATCAATGATAGCAAAATTGAATGTTTCTTGACATTATGCAAACATTTAAAAAGGTTAGCTTGCGATTTAACTGAAAATGGATTCCTCCTCAATGGTTCATGGGGCTCTGTGTGTCCCCAACCCTGGGAATCCATTACGATAACATACCGACTTTAACAATATCGTGTTATCGAGTATCGACACGTTACTTAATCCCAATGACTGTCACGAACAGCCGTATGGCTCGCATTACTAGCCACGTACGTCTTATATACGACTTACAAGGATTAATTTTCAATTCTCAAACAATATGCGTGTTCATACACGTACAAGAGTCCATTACGGATGTCCCGCAGGACGTTCATCTCGGCAACTTGACCACCGGCGAGGGGTATTCCTCGAGGGTGGCCTCGTAGAAATCCGCGAGCGATTGCTCCACGTCATTCATCGGTGGGCTGTAATTATCGTCCTCGTTCCATGGAATGGTGAGGTCTCTGGTAATAATGGCGCATTGGCAACCAACACCGCCGCCGCCATCCGATGTTGTTCCGCAAAGTTCTGCGAGTTTTTCACTGCTGTCTACCTGCAAAAATAGAGAATAACCTGGTTAGTTAAGTAATTAGCATTGTTTCCATATGTAAATTCAACGCGCGAAATTTTTACAACGGGACTTATATTGAAGTTGTTTTGAATGCTGTTGAAATATTGTGAAATTCAAGGCATCAAGTGCTTGATGTGTTGATTTTAAATACTGCCAGTCATGATGAGTTTAGAATATTAAGCATATAAAAATATTAACTTACTTTAATGACAGGAATGTAGTTTTCATAGCAAAAAGCTTGCAATAAGACAGTTTGCAGATGTGCGCTGGAATCACCTGGTCTACTTTCAGCTAGCAGACACATGATCGTCTCGTCAGCAGCTTTATCCAAACACGCGATTGCCGGCAACAAGCCGCAGATAAGGCGGCTGTCCTTGCGTGCCTCAGCAAGGACTGTGCGGATGATTCTCCCCAGACGGTTGCGGTTCATTTTCGGGCTATCCTCACATACGGTGTCTTCACCATCGCTGCCAGCCCTGTTGCACAACTTGGACATGCACATGTTCTCCAATTTGTTATTAGAATGTTCGTTGAGGGTAGTAATTTTTAAAGAAACTGCTGTTTCTTTTTGGAACTAATGTTTAGATCGCTTAGATTGCGTGCGTAATCACTTGTTATTAATTGCACAATGATAACAATTGTTTAATAATATTGTGTAATCCGGTGTTTTTAAATTTGCGAGTTGAGCACACTAGTATCCGTACGATGTGTACACGTAACTTACTCGGTTCAAAATGATGCAAGGACAACGACGCGCGCGCTTTTTGTAGTTTCGGTCGGCGGCGCTGGTGGGGGTTTGGAGTGAATTCCGCGCTCGGGCAATTCAGACGAAGTTTGAGCGGTTGTGTGTGCGTGCGTCTGACGTGTTCGAGGAATCCCCGGCGCGAAAGCGAGCGCCAAGCGCGATTGCGACGCGTCGTGGCAGGTCGAGACATGCCCGGATTCGAGGGACGCCCGGCGCCGCGTACGCGAGATAGAATATCACATGCTCCGACATGATGCTGGAGGCGAGCGAGCGTGTATCTCATGTTTTCTCTCATGTTGCCGGCGCGGCGTGGCAGTGGATGGGAGGTTTCATTCATGAATCGATTCAGCTTACGGCGTGTACTCCGACCGTTAATGCTCGTTATTGCGTGGAATTTTTTCCGAGAAGGTTAATCTCACTAGGTGTGGACCACCCTCTGTAACGGCATCACAAGGGGAAGTCACAGCAAAGCTCGCCGACTAATTTTTACCGAATCCTCATCGGGTGGCATCCTTTTAATTTTTGCCGCTTTATTTAGGACAATATTGAGTATATTTATCAATTTAGGCCACCAGTTATGTTAAAAAAAACATGTTTTGCTTAATGGAAAAAATAAAATCCTGTGAATCGCGACATCATTTAAATCCAACCTTCCGAGAAGCTAGAAATATTGAATGTGTTGAGTTTTGGAAATTCAGCGCTTCGCGGAAAAGCGCCGTGATAAAAATTCAGAGCGTTTTACGAATACCTAACTAATAAATTCTAGGTCACCGTGTTTGTTATGCAAACAACTCAATATTTTGCACAAATTTTCAGGTAATTGTTTTGTATCGGTATGCAAAATGTAATTTTGCGATGATTTGCTTATCTGTTGCATCATTATTTCATCATTTGAGCAGTTGGCATCGATATCAATTGTTATATTTATCTGGCATCGCCAAAATTGGCGAAATCTGTTCATATTCGCCTATTCACCTAGCCGTAACCATAAAAAGCCATCATCGTTAAATGCCGATTCACATGCTCGTTATTTGCGATTAGTGTTATCTCAGGTCTACCTGGAACGTGATGTTTATTTTGCAAAGTATCAGTCGCCGCGTGCTTGAATTGTTATTTGATTTTGAGATCTGAATGGGCGTAACGAGTATTGAACGTCAATGTTAACAAATATTGTGTATGCATAGACACTCTAAGTAAATTCAGGTTAAATGTTACAATATAAACAATTTGTTACAATTTAGAGCACATTTCTGCTTCTTTTGATGCCAGCGATAATCAGAATCGTAATAAATTATTTCACGATTTTATTATTCTGTGTACTTGGGACACATCTCAGAATTCCGCATTTCTTTAATGTCTGTGTATATAGTTCGACGAACGCTCTCTCCCTACAGTGTTCTGCACGGTCAAGGCCGCAGAATCTTTCGTTTCGCGGAAATTCCCGCGCACGAGCGCCGCCCGCGTGTCCTCACCCCATTTCTCGCGTAACGCCTCCACCACAATTGAGCATTTCAGCGTAAAACGTCGTTAGATGACTGCATGTATACAAACATTCGATGGTGTATGTAGGTCACTGATCGTTCCATTGAAAAACGAGACAGGACCAACACATACAGACGGTTTTCCGCCGGCGGAAAATGGCGGGACGTCGCCTGAGTGTAGGGGTTAGTCAATATATCGATTTGTACCACCACCAGTACAAGTGGTGGTGTGATCACGCCACTGCGTAGTCTTGGAAGTGTAGGCGGTACATTACGACGGTTTTCCGCGAATTTTCCACCACCACTGTGCTCGCGCCACCCTCGCACGATTTACCCAGTCAATACATGCGCGACAACAACAAATATTATCTAATAGAATCTAGTTTCTACGTTTGTGTCTGTGAATTTTCACCAAATTGAAAACCGTCTGATTTTCAGGAATTTCAGTAAATGATTGTTCAAAACAACCGGCAGTTAAACGTTTCCGCTTATTTATTGTGACATTTATTAATATTAAATATTGACCCAGAGTCTCTTCCTTAATTATTACTAATATTTATCGCTGATAACTCTATGGCGCATGGAAATTAATTTGCTAAGGAATTTTTTTCACTAGCTGCAGATTAGATTGTTTATTTATTTTATTGCATTTCGGATGTTTACGGAAATTTTTACAAATACTACTATTACTACACACTACTTAAGACCGCATACAAGCCAAACACGATCATAACAATTTTGGCTTTGTATTTGACTTGGTGATAAAGCAATTATTCCACCACGCGGTGGAACATTGACACGGTCTGGGGTCTGCAGATGCCGCATAAAAATCAAAACAATTCCGAAATAAATTATTCCATTAGCTTAGCATGTGCGGCTTAAGTAAGTACTTTGTGTGGCCGGCTTTGCACTGCATTGTTTTTGTTTGTGGTATGCGCGTCTGCAGGCAACCATACGCAATGTCTACAATCTTTCCGATAGTCTTTATACCGGGTGTGTATGTAAACATTGTTAAATACGCATTGGAAACTTTGACCAAATGCAAACTTGTTTGTGAAATCGTGAAATAATAAAAATTTTCTGTGCGGAAACATTCCGTTTGTAAAAAGGCGATGTTATCGTCTCGGCCTAATCACTTGTAACTTCTATTCAAACTGGTTTACGATTATGTACTTACTATTGGGACACGTTTATAGGACGTTTACCTTGCCATCATTTCTTGATTTGTTTGTTTACTTTTGAGACAATTAACTTTTTAATTTGTTTTTTTATATATTGCGTTTTTATTTATTTAGTTTTTATTCCGATAGGAAAGTTTCCTTATTTTTATTGTTATTTTTTTTTAATTGATGGTACTGAAAGCGGATTACTCATGATGTAAAATGTAAACAATAATATCGCAGTATGACCTGTAAGTAGAACTTAATATGTAATGGAGATGAATAGGATTGCGATGAGTCACTGAATCACCCGCAATACTGAGTAAGTTGGTTAAGTGTGTGTGCGGCCGGCGTTGAGAGGAATTTCAGTCGGAAATGTTTCGAATTCCTACCGCACGCGATCGACCAATCAGTTACCTTTAAAAAATGTTTCTGATGCGCTTTACCTC